CAACAAGATGCCTGAAGATCTTCTTGTAGTACTTCTTTTGCTGTTTCCTCATTGCTGGGTAGAAAATCATTGCTTGGTCGGATCTGCCGACACCTTCCATGTTGTTATTGTAGTCTATCACTATTTGTGGCTTCATGGCTTCATGACTTCTTTCCCACCTTTTGTGCGTACCATAACAGTGGAGGTATTATGAATTGTACTCATTAGGCACACATCTTTCTTGTCACGCCATCGCAGTGCCATCATTTTGCTTTTCTGCCAGGCAACCATTTCTCCAGTCTTCAACTTCTTATTGCCAAACATTGGCAGCATGTTGCGCCGGTTAGCCCTAACGGTTCCATAACCATCTGTTTTGTTTTGCAGAAGAAACTCATAAAGTTTAGGAGATGTATAAAAACTTGTCGGTTGTTACGCAATAGCCCTGATTTAGCAATGGCTCAATTAGTGAAAGAACAGAAGATGTTGTCATTCCATAGTTGCTGTTTTTTGGATTGAATTTTGTTCCTTTTCCAGTGTATATGATTGAATTCCAAATATAGCATGTAGGATTTTACGCCAAATCGTGCTCTCTTTGATATAATGTATTGTAACCAGCTGAGCCTTCCCTTGTAGGCCATTAGACTTTCATCTATGCTGATATCTCTTTCTGGCACATAGCTCCGTTGAAAATTCTTTAGAATCATTTGAGATGCTTCCCAGATTTTCTTTAGTTTTGGTGTAGGATAAGTAGTTTCATGAAATTCTTCATTGTTTTCAAAGTGTAAAAATTTAATAATCAGGGAAAATTTGTACTCTGACATGACCATGCCAAAGAATGGAGTGGCAAGTAATTATTATTACTAAGTATTATTAAGCCCAGAAATTTCCAAATGTCATCTTTGGTCACTGGTTCCCACTTTCCGCTTCTTGGAAACTTCCGATGCAGAGCAGTCAATTGTTGCTCTTGGTACCGGTTTGTCTCTTTTTTCAATAACCTCATCAGTCAGAAATAATTGTAAGTATGCCAAGGGGTTGTCATGTTCAACGTCTACTTTCATGCCAGATGCTACAGTAAATGGGAATCTTGGGGGCGCTGCCTGATCCGTACCACAGTCAATAGGTACACCTGTATTATTATTATTATTATTGTTATTAATAATATTTTATTATATAAAGCTTGTATTATATTCCTACTAGTGTGAATCTATATACTTATGGTTATATGCTGCCTTCTGTAGCTCCTCTGCTCCCAATTACTTTGGTTAGATTACTGGTCAGTTTCCCAGGAAGGGAAACAGAGGCCATGTCATGAGTTGAGGCACTGCCAACTGTATTACCAAATCCACTCTTTCACTTAGTGAAGCTTCTGGTTCTCTTATTTACCTACAGGTTTAGCACAATATGCTGTTTAGTGAGGGTCATTTTGCATAACACCCTCCCACACACAAACACACAGAGACCACCAAAAGAGGGCTACTCACTTTCATTTTATAACATTAGCACTGTAATAATAATTCAAACATTTATTTTGACAATCAAATATGAGCTTACATGAAAAATTTCCTTTCATTTTGTGAGTACTGCCTGCCTGCTGGTCATCTCTTTTGAAAACTTCCTGGATACCCTGCTTGTTTTGCAGCTACCCCTCTGCTATTTACTGTTATTTAAACAATCGATTTTTATTGGAAAAAATTGAGCAATACACATATAAATGATTTTGTAGCGTATATAGAGACAAGTATCATAAGTAAGAGCTAATTAAAATACAATTATTATGCATTAGAATATCAATGCAAAATAAAATACTTAAGCAGCCATTTCCATTACCAATAGGGTATTGTAACTTGACCGTCTAGTGAACGCGCTAGTATTTCTTTTGGTTAGCATATAGTCATATACACCATATTAGCTATTGTAGAGGTCAGAGTGGTATATCTGATGCAGAGGATGTCATAGGAGAGGTAGAAGTATATCATGGTCATTACTTACAATTGGTCAATTATTGCTAATCTTAATCCTTTATAAAATTCATATTGCAATCATAGTCCAATATCAAATATCTGTTACAAAATCAAATCAAATAGGCACTAGAAGTGCCTAAATATATGTCATTACTATGCACAGAACAACGATATAGTTTTTTCAGTCTTAATTCCCTTTAGGCAAATAGATTCTAATGGAGTCAAGGGTCTCTTAAAATTTTTGAGCCGTGCTGTAGTTAAGATATAACTATGTATCTGACGGTATGTCCAGTTTGTTATGACCCTAGATCCTAATTCCACTACTAAGTCAGCATAAGATTTCATTTTACCCCCTTTCATGCAATGTGAGATTAGAAGGGGGTGTTTTTATCAAAATGTACTTGTGCTAAAACTATCATGCCTGGTAAAAAGTCTGGATTAGATCCTAATGGGGTTAAGGGGCCTAGCAATGTGGAAATGTCAGATCCTTTAAAGACTTTTTGAAAGGCCTTCAATGTTGCCCCCACTAGTAGATGTTGTTTTATACAAGTCGGGCAGGATTCACATGGTATCCAGGGAGAGTATGTCACTGGTAGAGGATCTATATTATTTTCAAGAGCCACCCAGTCCTTATTATCAGCATGAAAACTGCAATCAATAATTCGGGTGAGATGAGAAGCAAAATAGTAATTCTTGAAGTTTGGGAAACCCACCTCTCCTCTGTGTTTGGATTGAGTGAGTAAATGAATATTAATACATGGCAAAAAATACTTTTTGCTGCCCACAGAAATCTCCTGAGCATGGATTGTAAGGATTGGAAAAAGCTTTCTGGTACAAAGATTGGTGGGGTCTGAAGCAAATACAATATTCTAGGCAAAATCATTATCTTTATTATATCTTTATTATAGCTGCCCTTCCAAACCAGGAGAAATATTTTAGGGTCCGTTTTTCTAAATCCTTATTTATGTGTTAAAGTAGCGGTATAAATTTTTTAGCATATAGGGAATTTAGTGTTGGTGTATGCCAGATACCCAGGTTCTTGAGTGCCTTCTCTTCCCGTTTAAATGTGCAATTTCTCTGTGCAGTGGATAGGGCTTGAGCTGTGATGGACAGATTCAAAGCTTCTATTTTAAAGCTTAACACATAACTGTAGTGTATGAAGGCTTGGAATAAATTAAGTATAGTAATATGAGGTTGCGTCAAGAAAAACAATAAATCATCTGTGTAAGCCATGGACTTGTATGTTCTAATTCCAACCTGAAAGCCATGTATTTATGGGGAGTTATTTACTATTCGTATGAAGGGTTCCAATGTTACGATAAAAAGTAATGGTGAAAGGGGGCAGCCTTGACGTGTTCTGTTATAAATGTTTATCTCTAACTTATCCTGAAAATTAGCTTTTTAACCCTCAATTTACCCAAACACAACTGAATGGGCTTACAGCTTCCTAGAAGCCCTGGGGGCAATGTGTTTTTTTTTACCTTCACTTTCAGTGATAACAGCAAGCAGGACAAATAGAGCAGGCAAATCTCCCCAACAGATTCATATTACATGGTATCTTTACTGTTTTTTCTACATCTTAGTTGGGTTAGGCACAGGTAACATAAGCAGCAACTCATTGATGCATCATGGGAAGTCCAAATCACATGTTCAAGAAGGCAGACACAGAGTTCCAATCAGAGTTCTAGGAAGTAAAGAAAGATGAGATCTTCTGTCCTTAGTGAAAATGGAGGAAAGGAAAAATAAGTATGCAAAGAATTTATCTTTAGCCACTTCCTGCTCAGCCTATAGCAATTTGACAGCCTGGCGGGACTTTTCGTTGTTCCAGGTGGATGTCATAAGATGTCCTCCTGGAATGAGCCTTGCGTGCGGCCATAGGGGCCATGCTATAGGACACAGCCCCAATAACTGATCAGTGTACCAGCCTGCTGCCAGAACCATGTGATCACTTTCACCAATCACAGTAGATCACATGACAATCCTAAACAATGAGTGGCTTCAATTCATGCCATTCATTGTTACAATTGTATTGTTAGCTATGATTGATCAAAGTGGTCACATGGTACAAACAGGGTCAATCACAGACCATCTGTACCATGTGATAATCACACCAAGAAACACTGAATAAATCGATTTCCTTCAGTAAAATGCTTGCTTATAGCAGTAAAATTTACTGCTATAATCAATCATAAGGTGTAAAAAAAAAATCCTGATCACTTCCCGAGTAGTACAATGTTACTATGGTAACTTTATATTGCTCTGGTCACAGTTAAAAAAATCGTAAAAAAAAGAAAAAAATGTAACAAAAAAATTGAAATTTTTTTTTAAAAAATCATTCGTTTTTTTTTTTTTTTTTTTGTAATGTCATCAGTCAGTGATCATCATCACAGCAGTTCTACTTTCCAAAAAGGAGGAGTCATTTGGTGATATCTGTACTGTCCTGACATTTTTGAGCCTAAAAAAATTAGATTGGCCGTCAGTACATCAGGATTGTTCGATTTTCAGATATACACTATATTGTCAAAAGTATTGGGATGCCTGCCTTTACATACACATGAATTTTAATGGCATCCCAGTCTTAGTCCGTAGGGTTCAATATTGAGTTGGCCCACCCTTTGCAGCTATAACAGCTTCAACTCTTTTGTGAGGTGCATTTGTGAGGTCGGGCACTGATGTCAAGAAGCCCTCGCTCTCAGTTTCCACTCTAATTCATTCCAAAGGTGTTCTATCTGGTTGAAGTCAGGACTCTGTGCAGGCCAGTCAAGTTCCTCCACCCCAAACTTGCTCATCCATGTCTTTATGGACCTTGCTTTGTGCACTGGTGTGCAGTAATGTTGGAACAGGAAGGGGTCATCCACAAACTGTTCCCACAAAGTTGGAAGCATGAAATTGTCCAAAATGTCTTGGTATGCTGATGCCCCCCTCCAACAAACTTTACACTTGGCACAATGCAGTCAGAAAAGTACTGTTCTCCTGACAGCCACAAAACCCAGACATGTCCATCAGATTCCCAGACAGGGAAGCATGATTCATCACTCCAGAGAACATGTCTCCACTGCTCTAGATTCCAGTGGTGCTGTGCTTTACACCACTGCATCCCACGCTTTGCATTGTACTTGGTGATGTAAGGTTTGGATGCAGCTGCTCGGCCATGGAAACCCAATCCATGAAGTTCTCTACACACCGTTGTTATGCTAATCTGAAGGCCACACAAAGTTTGGAGGTCTTTACCTACTGAATCTGCAGACAGTTGGCGACTTCTGCGCACTGTGTACTTCAGCATGCGCTGACCCCGCTCTGTCATTTTACCCAGGTTACCACTTGGTGGATGAGTTGCTGTTGTTCCCAATTGCTTCCGCTTTGTTATAACACCACTAACAGTTGACCATGGAATATTTAGTAGCAAGGAAATTTCACGAATGGACTTACTGCACAGGTGGCAACCTATCACGGTACCACGCTTGAATTCACTGAGCTCCTGAGAGTGATCCATTCTTTCCCAAATGTTTGTCGAAGCTGTCTGCATGCCTAGGGGCTTGATTTTATACACCTGTGGTCATAGAGATGATTGGAACACCTGAATCCAATTATTTGGAGGGGTGTCCCAATACGTTTGGCAATATAGTGTATATACAGTACTATAGTTTGTGGACTCTGTAACTTTCCTACAGACTAAATAATAAACACTGATTTGTGTTATTTTCACCAAAGAAATGTAGCAGAATATATTTTGGTCTAAATTTATGAAGAACGATTATTTATTTGCAAAATTTTATAACAGAAACATTTCTTTTCAAAATTTTGTCTTTTTTAATTTATTTTGCAAAAAAAGAAAAACCCAGTGGTGATTTAATACCACTAAAGAATATATGGATGCAAATTGCACCACAAAGTATAGCATGCAAATTATTCAGGAATGCAATTCCTGTCCAAATTGCATGCGGTTTTCCCACTGCTCCTGTGTGAACCTAGGCTTGTCATAGCTTGAGTTAACACAGAAGCAGGTGCAAGGAGGTTTCCCACAGTGGAGAGTGAGAGAGAAAGGAATGTGGGGATGTATACCTTGGTGGTAGATGGAGGCTGTGGCTTTCTCTCCTCTCCTTGCAGGGATGACAGTTCAGGCTAGAGGGCTTTTGACTGGTCAGCACCATCACATGGACAGTGCTGACCAGTTTAGAAGCCATCTAGCCCATACTGTCATCCCTGCAAAGAGAGGAGAGAATGCTGTTTCACAGGTCTGGGGATTTCAAATTCCCATGGCTCTCTCTCCTCTCCTTGCAGGCATGACAGTACATCTGATTGGTCACACATGCCCACTATCTGCTCAACATAGGATTGTTGCAGGGAGGGATCAGTGCAGTGGGGAAACCGCATGCGATTTGGACAGGAATCACATTCCGGTTCAAAACGTATGCTATTTTTTTTGCTATGCAATTTTGCATTTTGTATTAACGCAAAGTATTGGTTTCCAGGAGCATTTTCATGAGTACGAGTACTCGTGAAAATATTCAGTATTGGCACCAATACTGATACCGGTATTGGTATCAATGCATCCCTAGTTGTGAGGATGTGATGGAGACTACCATCAAACCCATGATAGTGTCTGATGTTGCTCCCATTACCCTGACTTTCTCGATCTCTGCATATCCCTCCCAGTGTAAACAATGTCAGCTTAATGAGAGTAGTTTACAGGATGAGGTGCTCAGGGCAGAACTTAAAAACTGAACTTTCAACCATTTTTGCGTTGGATAGGTCTGCAGATACAAGACCGTTTTCAGTTTGGGAAGCACATAAATGCGTGATCAGGGGGTATTTAATCAAACTGGGTTCTAGATGGAAAAAGGTGAAAAGTTAAAAGCATTAATATCGCATATAAAGTATATTTAAACTCAGCATAATAAGTCACAAGCAATGCATGTCATGTCAGAATTGGCTAATCTACAAGAGCAAGCTAATTCTTACCTGTTATCAAAAGTGAACACAAAATTAATATATAGTAGGTGTTTATTTTTGAATTTAACAACAAAGCAGGCCGGCTATTGGCATGCTCCCATCATACACTTTCGGCAAAGGCACTTATTCCTGCTGTCACTTTCTCAAAAGATCATTAAGGTATCAAACCAACAGATATAGCAAATAGCTTTAAAGATTTCTACTCAGGATTATAACAATTGAGTACTGTCCGTGATACTTTTTTTATTTGCACTAACATACAATTTTGAGGACAAGCTTTCGGTGTATGTCCCCTTCTTCAAAGTCACCTCAAACGTACTCAGGATTATATAATTCAGCAGAATTAATGTCTCATGACCCTATAAATTAATATTTGGCTGAATCCTCTCTTCCACAATTATTGGAGGTGGAAAGAGAGATCCTTAATAAACCCATCTCAGAAAAGGATTTTGACTTGGCTCTTAAAAGTCTGCCAGTAGGTAGGGCACCAGATCCGGATGGTCTTGCATCCTTTTATTATAAGATATTTAGGCAAATCCTGGTTCCGGAATTTGCATTTGCTTTCACCTCATTATTACAGAGTTCTCCTATCCCAAAGGATACCTCTCACGCTCACATAATTGTACTTTTGAAGCCAGCTATAGACCAACTTCCCTCCTTAATACGGATTTGAAATTATTGGCACTAAGATTACTTCCATACTTGGAAAACATCATTCATTTAAATCAATCTGGTTTTATGGCGGGCAGAGAAGCCAGGGAAAATACCATCAGAGCTCTTAATCTTAGTTACCTCTTCAGTTACACTTCATCTTCTGCACTTCTTCTCTTCACAGACACCGAGAAGGCATTTGATAGGGTAAGCTGGATGTTTATAAGGTGCACTTTCCAATATATCGGAATTGGGGCAAATGTGATGATAGATGCCCTGTATGAATATCCAACAGAGGCGGTCAGGGGCATCCCTAGGGTTGGAGTCACCAGGTGCCATAACACTTGGTGACACCCCCTCTGACGATCCCCGCAGAATGGATCGGATCTGCGGATTGAGCATAATGGATCGGAGTCCGATCCATTATGCTCCCTAATCCGCAGATCTGATCCATCCTGCGGGGATCATTGGCTTTCTTTACAACTTACCTTTTCGTGGAGCGGGTACTGTATCACCCCGTATAGGTTGCATGCCAACGATCCCTGCAGGATGGTTCGGATCTGCAGATTGAGCATAATGGATCGGAGTCCAATCCACTATGCTCCCTAATCCGCAGATCCAGTCCATCCTGCGGGGATCGTCAGCATGCAACCTATATGGGGTGACACCGGACTCACTCCACGAAAAGGTAAATTGTAAAGAAAGCCGATGATCCCCGCAGGATGGATTTGCCTCAGGATGCCACTGGAGGCAGTTAAAGCCAATTGTGCACTATCAGCCAATTTCCCTCTGGCAAATGGTACCCGTCAGGGTTGTTCCCTTTCACCACTTATTTTTATACTTACCTTGGAGCCATTGTTATGACATTTTAGAACCAACCCAGACATAATAGGGGAACAGGCAAGAAAAGTGTCTCATAAAGTCGCTGCAAATGCAGACTATTTACTATTTTTTGTCACCAGTCCAGAAGTACCTTTACCCAATTTAATGAGAGTATTAGACCTGTTTGCACAACTGTCAACTTATAAAATTTACATATGCAAAAAAGAAGTAATGAATCTCACAGTCCCTGAAACTAGAGTGTCTATTTTGAAACCAAAATGGGTGGCGTAGAAACTTAAGTATTTAGAGATATATCTTACACAGTCCCTAGCCAATGTATTCCAACATAATTTTCCACAGCTTCTTTCCAATATTAAGTGATCTTGAGCACTGGTGACAACTCTCTCACACATGGTTTGGTAAAAACTTAATTTCAAAAATGAATTTACTCCCTTCGAGTGCTGTATCTTTTTCAGACCCCACCGGTGAATGTACTGAATAATTTCCAGCAACAAATTAAGCATGAATTTGTGCAATTTTTGTGGGTGGGTCATCTACTAAGGATACGAGCAGAAATACTCACTATGCGTAAGTGCGTAAGGGGCATGGGATTTCTGGACCTAGTACGGTATTACCAAGCTGCACATTTACTACTGATACTGGACTGGTGCAATCATGGTCAGGTAAGAGCTGGGTACCTCTGGAACAACATATATAATCTTTTCCACTCAAGGCCCTCCCATGAATTAATACTCAGTGTCCAGTTCAGGTGAGGGAGCATCCTATCCTAGGTACTAAGTTTAAAGTAGTCCGTTCATTAAATTCCAGGGGGATAAGTCTTATAACAGCATCACTTTTGATGCCAGTAATAGAAAACCCAGATTTTCCGCCGGGGTTGACTGATCCCAGATTTCATCAGTTATTAGAGGTTCAATTGCGGGATTTGTTTGGAGTGGTTGAAAATTCATAAGGCATATGCAATCCATGCTTACACCATCTTTACTGACGTGGCAGGTGATACAACTACAGCACTATCTTATTTCACTATCTCAGGGTTCAGAATTATTAGATTCGTCCACTAGCTTCAAGCAATTGTGTGTAGATATTGATAACACCCTCTGATTTGCATGTTCCTTTTTTATGTCTGCATGAGAAAAAGATTTGAATATAAGATTTTTGGCTGCTCAAAGAGATTGTATCTATTATTTCATACATAAAAACTCTTTCTCCTCTAGACTGCAGGAAGCAGGGTACAAGTTTTTGACTTTTGACTAGGTGGTAAAGATCTCCAAATGTTTTCTAACCCCATTTGTTGGCGCTGCAAAGAGGAAAGGGGAACACTCTTCCATATTTCCTGGGCATGTCCCAGAATTCATCCCTATTGGAAAGAGATGTGCTTTGATTATATATTTTGATTAAGATTTTATTAACTTATCTCTGGTCTCTCCCTTGATCAGGACCTAGCAGCATGTTTGTTATGTCTCAGCCCTCTCTCATGGGGTGGATATCGCCAATTGGTGGCAATGTATACCAGCAACTTGGGAGTCCTCCTCTCCACCAACAGTGGGGCACTGGATTAGAGCAGTTAATGAGATAATGCATATGGAGGAGCTTACAGCATCAGGGAAAAGACAAGAAGGTTGTCTTCGCAAAACCTGGAGTGGGTGGATTAATTTCACCTCAATGGTGAAATATAAGACATTCTTTCCCTGATCCTGTTTTCGAAATACTATTATTAAATATAGTGTATTTTTTTGGAGGGAAGGGAAAAAGGTGTAAAAAATGGACAATTATGCGTGGATCTGTGTATCATCCTTTAAAATTACATAATATTATTAAGTAGAAATGCATTTATCATTTATTGTTTATTTTCTTAAGGGCCAAGAGCCGAGCATGCACGTCAGGTACATATGGGTGTATTGCAAATGTGTATGCTGTACTTGCCAATTAGATTGTTGGGTATTTGGATAGCAGTGTATATTTATAGTTCTTGTTTTGATTTAT